TTCACATAGTTAGATTTGCCGTCATTGAATTTTTTTAACATTTCTTTTTTTAACAACATTCGTCATAACACCATTTGACGCGCTGTTCCCTAATTGCATCAGTTAGCAAATGTGGTACCCAAAGTGAACAAAGCTTTCGTACTCCTAAGTTTTCATGAAGAATTCGATGAATAGTTGGTGCACTTAAATTGAGTGTTTCCTCGATCTGACGGTATGTTACATGGCGATCTCCTTCAATCAGTTTTCGCACAGCTACAATATTCTTATCAGTGGTTGCGTCAATCGGCCTGCCCGGTCTTGAATCGTCTTCTAAATTAAAATTGCCACGATTGAATTGTAAAAACCATCTTTCTATGGTCCTAAGGGATGGACAATTATCACCCAACACACCACTCATTTCTTCGAAGCATTGTTGTTTTGATAATCCACGCTTAAAGTTATACAAAATTATCACCCGAACGTCACGACGATTTAAATCTGACATATTCAATTGTTTAAAAATTCACTAAAAAAATACTAAGCTAGTTACTCCAACGAAACTTATGCAAATTATGTTGACATTAGTTGGTGTATTAGAATCTACCCTCAGTTGAATTATAACTATTAACTATTTGTCATACGACAAAACTTTTGTAGTGACCTACGTACAATTTAATGATTTAAAAGATTATGTAAATATCATAATAATATAAAAATATCACCTTGATTAGCAAAGTAACCTGATAACCAACTTTCTAAGGAATGTTATTTGTTTGCAGTTAACACAAAAACCTGCGCTTACGCAACCATGAATGCAACACGCGTGTAACCAACCTGAGTAGAATGTAGAATTGAAGTAATTCTATACTTTACATATTTATACATTTACCTATTTGTTTAAATGTATCTATTTATTTGTATTATGTATTGGTTAGGTTTTTCTGATGATATTCGTACATCAATAGATAGTGATAGGCTACTGCTGGACTTGGGGCATCGTCTATAAGAGAGGGTTTGTCAAAAACTTCAGTTTTATCAGAATCCAATTCCAAACACCATATAGAGCATTTCTACATATTTTAAATATCTAGACTTCACGCTTGTACTGGATCCCTATGTCGGATTCGACCAAATGCCTCACCTGAGGATCAAACCAAAACCTTGATCGCACTTAAAATCACTCTACCAAAAAAAAACAATGACCACACAAAGACAAATTTATAACAATTTATTCTAAATTCTAATACATAATTTCACTAAAATCATTTCCGTGCTCCGGCGCACAACGTGTGAATACAAAACTGCTGAACCGAAAACGATGCAATTACATTCCTACATACATTACAAGTAGAACTATTGTTTTAAAACTATTTGTAGACAGCATATCAAAGTATCACAATCTGACATCATTCTTCAATAGATTCTTGACATTACGACAAGGTCACAAGGTAGATTTTTGTTTAAAAATGGTATAGCTTGACATGCCGCTGACTACAATTTAATACATTCGATTTGTTCTAGTGTATCATTTGACTGATAAACATCTTATAATGGTCGTGTTAACCGAACTATTTAGCGTGGGAAGTGATTTAGACCTATGAGTAGAATACCTTGTTAGTTGTTAGCAAGAGTGATTGTTGAGAAAAAGGTATTGGATTGATTCTCATCTAGAGTCTTTTATTTTCCGACCAAAAAGGCCAGTTACGCACTTGTTACTCTGCAAGTGGGTGCCCATGGGTGTCAAATTACCTCAGTTGCAATCGGTTCCATCAACTAAGCCGTTATTTGCCCTGTCCCAGAAAAAAATCAAAGTCAAAGTAAAATTCAAAGCATTTATTTCAATTAAACCATAATTTGGTAATCTTAAAACGTCAACAAATACAAAATAAATAATAGTTTGTCAGTCAGTCCGTCAGTGAAGCTAGGTGCTCATTCCAAAATCTAGATTGTCGTCTGCTGCTGAACATAGAATTGCCCCAGTTGCAGATTGGTCAGTTGGAAGTCATCTGCATCCAGAGGCTCCCTGCAACCTAAATTTATTAAAAAAAATAATAGTATACAGGGTGTGGAAGGAGGGTAAGGACGCCTTTGCCCTGCAGTGGGACGACCATGGCTAAAAATAAATAAAATGAATAAATACAGGGTGTAAGCGGAACGCTCCTGTAAAACGCTGGCAAAAAAATGTTTTTACAATTTTAAACGTTTTTGTTTACGTTTTATTGATGCAACACCAGCCTTAAGTGGTTGATTACAACTATAAATACCTATATAAAAGAAATAAGTATTTAATTTCATACTTTAATGAAAATCAAACTTATTCTTGACATTCCGTTTATTTTTTTTATTTTATTTTACACTTTAATGCACACAAAATAAGGTACATAAGGCGGACTTAATGCCATATGGCATTTTCTCCCAGTCAACCTTTGGGTTAAATGTAAGCTCAGCGAAAATGGGCCTGTGTAATATGCAAAAAAAAACAAAATAAATAACTAATAGTAATAATAAATACTGTATAACATACTGTATACAAATATATAATAAACACAAAATATGTACATACATAAATAACTTCATATATATAATTATAATATAATATAACCATTTACACCCTATGTATTATGCGTTATCTTTTAAGGTCACAATTTTCTACTCTCCAGTTCTCCAACAACAAGTACATTGCCATAACTAATTCCTTCACTACAAACTAGATGGCGCTACATACACGTCACGGTTGATCGAGACATACATGCATAGAATTCTTATCGAGGCAACGACATAGTGCCCTATTTCACAGCATTAATTCCATGATAACATTGTTGTTTTTTACCTTTATGTTAATCTAAGTTAAATATATTAGTAACGTAGGTTGGTAAAGGTAGCAAAGATTTCTTGCTAGTGGCGTAGAGCGGCCTTTTACAGAAGTGGACTAGTCATAGACAGATTTACAAGACGACACTTTTACGGTGTTACGTTGAGGCCTCGCAAATCATTTATTTTAATTCAGAAACAACTCAATCATCTTGATCATTCTCATCATCATCTTCATCACTTTCTTGTCGGGTGTCAAGTAATTTGGATGATTTATATTCAAAACTAATTGCATCTGTTCTAGCCAGGACTTTTGTTAGTTTACTGGTCTTAGCAGATACATTATCATCTTCAGTCTATAAGTGGCCACTGCTAACCAAAGGCCGCTTCTCACACGGAGAAGGTTTGAACACTAATCACTACACTTGCTCAATGCGGGTTAGCGATTTCAAACTTTACTTAATCACTTATCTACTCTACTTACTATAATACATTAAATAAAAAATTTTAAGCCCAGGTTTCCTCACGATGTTTTTCTTTTTCACTTTGAATAATCTTAGAAAGTACATACAAATAACTCGGGACAAGTCACATTATTGGTACTTTGCCGTCTTAAACCTCTGCCAGCTTCATCATCATGATCACAATCAACATTCTGACATACTCCTTAGTCTGGTGGATTATAAACCTCTTCTTCATAAGAGTGTTTTGACATATTTTCCACGCTTGACTTGTGTTCAAGATTATATCAGAAAATGCTACAGCCTCTATTGTATGTCTAACCCATTAGTCTGCACTAGAAAAAGAAGACTTGCTAAAGACTTAACCGGTTACCGGGGCTTCGGTTCAAAAAACAGGAGTAAGAACGGAGTGGTTTTAAGTTAGTAAGACCTATTCTTTACACTCTGGCCACGCTCAGTCTTGTCTTTTGGATTCTAATCCAAGTAGTAATCTATTTGCGGACGGATGGAAGATTTTATCGGAATGCCTGAAGTACTGCGAGATAAACTTATGAATGCTGTTAGCTCCTGTTTTAATTAAGTTTGTATTTTCTCTTTCGTTATTTATTGTAATAGAATTTCTACCGTTGTAACTGTTTAAATAAATAAATAAGCGTCTTACACTCCCTCTAGCCCCACTCGGACGGGAGAAGTCATTAGATGTTATTCTCCCATAGATAAAAAAGGTGGTAACAAATACAATGTACACTACTCTACCGTCAGTACAAGACAAGATAGACCTATAATTAAAAAAGCCTAAACAACTTGCTTACTTTGTGTCTACTAGCTAGTTAGTTAACTAGGGAAGCGTGTTACCTACTTGTCACATGACTGATGCTACGTTTAGACGCCACAGCTACTATTAACTGATCAAGTTTTTGTTAGGAAAACGCATTGAGTACATTTCTCACTTGAACGAAACTTAGACACGCGAAAGTTTATTGGACGTGTTTATGGTGGTGTTCCCAAAGCAAAAAAACTGCTAAATGAATTTATCTAGACATAATATGCGATGCAAATGAACCAATCTTTGGACAAATGCAACAATGGATGTGAACTAGATTTCACTAATTGCGTCACACCATTGCATTTTATTTTCATTTTTGATTATTTTATGAATGCAACGGTCGTTTGTTTTAGATTTATTTAATAGAGACATAGTAGGTACTATACCTAAGTACAATGTTATCCACCAAGATAAAAATATCTATGTTTTATCTACTACTTTCTTAGGAAACCTACATAACATCTAACTACGTTTAGCAGTATAATAATATTAAGTATGAATGTAGTATGTATGCCTATATATTTTTTTAAATATTATATTAAGTGAATAAGTGATATATTTATTGTATAGATATTTATATGTGTAGTTTATATATTATTTAACGATTAAGTTCACCACAATCCTTATATTTTAAAATTGTGTTCTGTCTTTCCATCAACCGCTTCATTTCCCTGTGGTTGGTGGTGGGCCATTCACTATATTTTTTGTAAAGAAGTTAAAAATCAATAAGAAATAAAAATACACCACATTACAAATCTCTCATTCAATTAACAAATAGAACAGCCTCACCTATTACAATACTCCCCCCACTTCCCTCCCATCTCGTGACGAGTATTTTTCCTATCACATTAATCATAGAGATGTGATAATGTTATCTTATCTTCTCATTATACCTACTATAATTATTTTACCTTTTTTCCTAGACTTGACTTGGTGTGCGCGTGAGTTGCGGTCCCGAGTGTCGCCCGACCTCTCCCGACGTTTGCCGATCGCCCCCGAACCCTTTTCGGAAAATGAAGGGATGGGAATTATTTTTCTTAGCCCTACTGGGCTTCGCTTTGGGACAAGGACCGGAGAAACGTGAGTACTTGTTTTACTTTTTTTTTTTTATTTGAATGTATTTTATTTCTATGTTTATTAGCGATTAGTTTTTGTTATTTGTTCCCATATCGGTTTGATACATCGTCTTTGGGTGTGAATGGTATCAGCTAAGTTCAAAATTAATTATTTTAAAAATAAGTATCGTTTCACATTCACTAGGTACTCTCCCAAAGGGTTTAAGATACGTTATAGTGATTTGCCCACTTATGGATATTTAATTCTATATCATGTTATAGATGTATTATTCCCCAATTAGAATAGTTAGCGAGCCTTTTGCCATAAAGCGGCCCTGTTTGTGAACGTCTAAACTGTTAAGAAAGTCTTATTTTTGCAAGTTACAATAATAAAACTTACGTAACATATTTTTGCTTGCGTAAGTACCTATGTACTTGGATAAATACCAAGTACCTACATTGTTTCACATAATGACCATTATCGAATCTTGTAACGATTATTATTATTTCAAAATCAGTTTCTGAAATTGCTTTCTGTACGCAATTTCAGTTCTGACATTAAAGTTGTTTCAAACTTAGGTATTGTACCTATATTTTAACATCCATTCAATGTTGACTGTTACATAAGTACGACCATAATTATAAATTTTATGGACTTATTTAATAATTTTATCCTATTGCAATATATTGATTGATATACTACTACTTGATTATGTCTACATTTTATATATATATATATATATATATATTATGGGCCGACGCGACGTTTGACCACTATCACGCCTGGAGGTATGCGATGATGCGGTCTACGATGAAGCACGTCTGCCCATAAGCAACCTATTCACTTGGGCCTTGAAGAGACCCAGGTTGTATACCCTTCAGAACATATAGACTCTGGCAAATAATTCATTATCTCCCTGTCTGAAATTTTATTCAGTTTTCAATATTGAACTACATTTTTTCAGTTACAAATAATACTCTATTCCTCTACTGAAGATTTAAAACGATCTTATGATCTATATTTTATTTTTTTTTTATTTTATTTATTTAGGTCAGCCAACGACTGTTTACACATCATTTTACAACAAATCGGTTTAGATACAATATTATGCATTTGCTAGTGTAACAATCAATTAAAGGCTAACACATCATGCTCAAGAGAATAGTTAGGTATTAGCCCAGGTATAAATTATTAAATTAAATTAAATTAATAAACATAAAACACAACTATTAAATTAACACAAAAATTAAATTATTAAACACAAATAATAGTTTCCCATAAACAGAAATCTATTTAAGGTGAACACACAATTAGAACAAACATAGGAAACAACAATAAAAATAAGAAAAAACAAAACAATTAGCATCTCATACATTATGCATTCTAGAATAGACAGACAAAGATTAGATTTCATCAAATTACAATAGGTTACATTAGGTTTCATTCACAACATAATTATTCATTTACATAATTAATTAATTAATTAATTATTCATTATTCATTTACATAATTATTCATTTATCCATTTACAATTACCTTAACAATCTTGGAAATACTGTCCTGGTTCAAATCCACTGAGTCACTGCAGCTATTGAGAATCCCACATAGCCTAGGTATAGGTGAGTTTCTGCCTAGTACAGACCTACGTTGTGGCGGGCATAAAGGCATAATAATATTTCTTGGGTATCTACATGGGGCATGGAATCCAACAAGACCCAACAATTTCGAACATTTAATTTTATGTCTCAATATTTTAAATAGAAATATGGCATCTGTGACATCTCTGCGTGTGGATAGAGTGTGCATCTTAAAATGTTGCATACGGGTTTTATAGGAAGGTAGCTGTTTATATTTTCCTTCACAAAAAGCTAAGTGCCACACAAAACGCTTTTGCACTCGTTCCAAACGCAGCATATGGGTGGCGTAGTGGGGTCTCCACACCACACTGCAATATTCTAATATGCTACGCACGAGACTGTTATACAGCATTATTTTTATACTACTTTTACGAAAGCTTCTTGTATTACGAATTATGAATCCAAGCATTTTAGATGATTTTTTAATTATATGTTCAAAGTGGGGAACAAAGGTTACCTTCCTATCAAAAAGCACACCTAAGTCCCGAATAGTTTCGCGTTCTCGCACTTTAACCTGATCAATATAGTATTCAGTGCCCATGTAGTTATTTTTCCTTGTAAATTTAACATGGTAACATTTGTCAGGATTTAGTTGCATTCTGTTATTTTTACACCACTCAATTACACTGTTAAGATCTTTCTGCAGAAGCTCGTTATCGTTTGGGGTTTCAATCATTCGTGCAAATTTCAAATCATCAGCATAAAGAAAAGGCTCTGAGTATTGAAAACACTGGGGCAGATCGTTAACAAATATATTGAATAGAGTTGGAGCTACATGTGTACCCTGAGGAGCGCCTGAAGTTATAATTTGCTCAGAAGATTTAAATCCATTAACAACGACGCAAAAATTGCGCCTCGTCAGGTATGATTCAAACCATTGCAACAAGGGCCCCGATATACCGTAAGCTGAAAGTTTATATATTAGTATGGTATGAGACATTTTGTCAAACGCCTTACTGAAGTCCGTATATATTACGTCAAATTGCTTGTTTTTATCTACTGCCTGAACTACTGACTCCGTAAAACTTACTAAGTTCGTTGCAGTAGATCTTGCCGTTACAAAACCATGCTGATGGTCGCTGAGGTATATTTCAAAATGACGCTGAAGATACGGGCATATAATAGATTCAAAAATCTTTGCAAAACCTGAAAGTATTGAAATGGGCCTGTAGTTTGAGATAGTGTTTTTACTATCAGATTTGTGCACTGGGACAACCCTTGCTTTTTTCCATTCCGAAGGAAAAGTACCTGATGCTAACGATGCATTAAAAATTATTATCAGAGGAGAAACCAGTGCCGCTGCACAGGAAGAAATAAATATTGGTGGGATATCATCAGGCCCCGGCCCCTTGGTGATATCAATTGTTTTTAGTTTATTAAGCAGACAGTCATGGTCAATTACTAGGGCGCTCAAACATTGACCGTTGCTATTCAGAGTCTGTAAGTACTCTGTCTGGCAATCCACCTCCTCCCCACTGTCAGATGTGTATACGGACGAGAAGTATTTGGCAAAAAGGTTGCAGATTTCAGAAACATTAGAGGTTACATTCTGTCCGTCAGTCATGGTCTGTGGGTAAGCACTTGATCCACCTCGTTTAGCTTTTATATAACTCCAAAAAAGTTTAGGATTACTTCTTATACCTTGTTCCAAATTTCTAAGGTAATCATTATACAAGGTCCTGGCTAATTTTGCACAACGCTTAGAGATTAAATTCAATTCGATTTTATCCATAGGATTTTTATACTTTTTAAAGCGTAGCCTCAACCTATTCTTTTCCTTCAACGATTTTATCATTATTTTGTTGAACCATGGTGGGTAACGACTATTATTTTGTTTTCTTACTGGTACAAATTTTTTAATTACTTCATACAAATGTTCGTAAAAAATAGTTACCATGTCATTTACATGATTACAATTGTTAAATAGAACACGCCAGTCTTGATCATTAAGATAACCATTAATATCTTTATAGTTTGCTTTATAGAAATTCGGTCTAGGAATGGAGTTATTATACGGCAGACAACGATTATTAACCGATGAAAGGGTTATATGAAGGGGTGGATGGAGTCTATCGATGACCGTCAGAGAGGAACTCGATTCCCTCACCGAACAGTTAGACACCGAAGACAACACCAGATCCAATGCGCGCCCAGAATAATTTTTTACGTGATTACATTGTACCAGGTGACTCATATTTACAAAATCCACCAAAATTTGGCTAGTTTTAGGCAGAGAATCATTAATAGTCTTTAAATCCCAATTGATTTTACCCTGATTAAAGTCACCGACAATGCAAGTAGGAATACTTGTTGAGTCTATAAACTTGTTGCAGTGTTCGACAAAATGCTCGAGGGTTGCCGGACTCACAGGCGGAGGTAGGTAAATTGCACAAAGGGCCATTTTAACAGGTTTTTGAGAGAGCGATATATCAACAGTGACCCAGAGATCTTCACACTTACTTTCCCAGTGTACTATACGTGACGAGTTAATCTGTTTATTCACCGCTATCAATACTCCACCACCATCCTTGTTACCTGTAAATCCCGCCGTCTCCCTATCTCTCCTGTATACTTCATATCGCCCATCAAACAACTCACCACTCAGTACACTGCTATTTAACCAGGTTTCCGTTAATATTACTATATCATAGTTCTGACAACACAAATTACAATAAAAAGATTTTGTTTTCGTTCGCAAACCTCTACAATTTTGATAATAAATTAAAATATCATTGAATTCTATAAGTATTTGATCATTACTTGCACTAAAATGTAACAAAAACATAAATCATCCTATGTTATACCATTCTACTTAGATTACTATTGTTCCTAATCTGAATATGTTCGGTGCCCTCGTTTTTCCTCACAAATATTCTGCCATTTCTAACCCACACATATTTGTAGTTCATTTCTTTTGCTTTAATCCTAGTAGCTGCGTGCAGGGCTCTGTTAGTTGGTGACAGGTGCTCTGCAACATATACCGGAGATTTAGGTCCAGCATATCCAAGATGGCTACTATTTAGCTTTTCTTGTGGGTTTGACTTATTAAAATGTATAGTTGCAGCAAGTAGTTGATCACGCAGCTTTGGTGATGCCAGCTGAACAATGATTGAGCGGGGACGAGTACTGGAAGAATTGGACTTAGCAACACGTGTGCAGTGAGGGATGTCCTTATCACTAATTTCGCATTTGACTACACGTGCCAGTTGTGTTATTATTTTGTATACGTTTTCATTTTTATTTTCAGGTACACATTGCACTTCTAAATTATTTGAACGGGACTGCTGTTCCAAGTTGACAAATCTCTCGCTCATGCCACCCATTGCTGCCTTCAGTTCCGCATTTTCCGCTTCCAAATTCATAATACGCTCATTTGAGATTTCCTGT